CAACAATGCAGAGGCGGTGAGTCGCGAGGGTGCAGGAGACCCTGCCGCACATCCTGGCCTCCGGCGTCGGGGTTTAGGGTTTAGGGTTTAGGGTTTAGGGTTTAGGGTTTTACTTCGTTCTTCTTTTCTATTTTTTCTAATAAAAAAGTACACGCAGCTGTATATACGCCACAGGGGCTGCGCCTCTCACCCATCTCGCAAGACCGGGGCCCCGGGGGGCCCCTAAACCCTAAACCCTGAACCCTAAACCCTAGACCCTAGACCCTAGACACTAAACCATAAAACCTAAACCCTAAACCGTAAGCTGTATGCCTTTTGACGTAGACATTTAATACTAATAAAACCTCAATATTGCCTTAACCCTCATAATCTCCAAACCCTTGTAAACCCTAGAAACTCATAAACCCGAAGCTCTCTAAACCCTAAACCCTAATTTTCACTAAACCCTAACGCGCTCTAGACCTTAGTAAACCCTAAAGCCTGGTAAATCCTGATAAATCCTCGACCCTAGTAAGCTCTAAACCCTAAATCTTTCTAAACCCTAAATCCTCTAAAGCCCCACGCCCTCATAAACCGTAAGCCCTAATTCAGCGTAAACATTGAAAAATCCTAGACCCAAGAGTACGATGTAAACCCTGGTAAGCCCTTAACCGAAGAACGCCCTCCTTCAAACCCTAAACCCTAAACCCTAAACCCTAACGAGGCTTACGCCCCGATAAGCACGAAACCCTAATATGCTCCAAACCCTAGCAAAACCCTAAACCCTGATTATCTCTAGACCGCAGTAAGCCCTAATCCCTGATAAACCCTAAACCCTGATGAACCCCAGTTTCCGATGCTCCCCAAACCCTAAAACCTAAACCCTAAACCGTAGGCCTTAATCCCCAACACATAAACCCTCGTTCTTAACGCTGATAAACCCTATACCCTGAAAAGCGCTAGACCCTAAGTAAACCCTAAACCCTAATAACCCAAAACCGTAATAAACCCTAAACCGCAATAAACCCTAAACCCTAGTAAACACTAAGCCCTAGTAAGCCCTAAACCCTAAACCCTAAAAATACCCTAGAAAGCCTGATGAACCATAAACCCTCATAACCGCTAAACCCTAAGCCTCGAACTTGACCGTCATAAACCCTAAACCCTCCCAAACCCTAGACCCTCTCAAATCCTAAACCCTAAACCCTAAACCCTAGACGAAGGGTTTGGCCAGCGCGAGGCAACGAGAAGTGCATTTTTGCAAATTGCATTAAAGGCACTTCATGCTTCATTTAACAATTAAACAGAAATAATAAATATAAATAAATATAAAATAAATTTAAAAAAATAAATAATTAATTAAAACAAATATATAAATAAATAAATAAATAATAGACCTTAAATAAATTCAAGCAGTTCTGCTGCTGCTGCGTCATTTCCCTTTAAGAGATAAGAAAAGAAACAAGATAAAATAAATAAAAACCAATTAGCTGCAGCAGCAGCAGCAGCTACTGCTGCTGCTGCTGCTGCTGCAGAAGCTCCTACTGCTGCTGCTGCAGCAAGAAACTGCTGGGTTGCTGCCGCTGCAGCGAGAAGCTGCTGCGGGTGCCGCCGCTGCAGCGAGAAGCTGCTGCAGCTGCTGCTGCTGCAGGAGAAGCTGCTGCAGCTGCTGGTGCAGCAGAAACTGCTACGGCTGCTGCTGCTGTTGCTGCTGCAGCAAACGCTGCTGCAGCTGCAGCAGAAGCTGCTGTGGCTGCCGCTGCGGCTGCCGCTGCAGCAGCAACAGCCACCTACGCAGCTGCTGCGCTGCAGCAGTTTCTGGTGCAGCTACAGCAAAAACTGCTGCCGCTGCTGCTGCTGCTGCTGCTGTTGCTGCTGCTGCTGCTGCTGTTGCTGCTGCTGCTGCTGCTCTTATACTTCATCGTCCTGCAGCAGCATATTTGGAATGCCTTTAGAGACGGGATATTCTCTTTGGCAGCAGGGGCAGACCAGGGTGCCTTCCATGATGTCCAGCTGAGCCAAAACCCTAAACCCTAAACCCTAAACCCTCAAACCCTTGTGACGCAGCTTTGGAACTAAGAATGGGCCGCAGGTAAAGGACGAGGGTTTAGGGTTTAGGGTTTGGCCACGCCCTCAAGTGAAGACCTCGCGAAGCAAGGCCCTGCCGCTCAAGGTCTAGGGTTTAGGGTTTAGGGTTTAGGGTTTAGGGCTTACGTCCAGAACTGCAGACTGAAAAGCTCTCAAGAAATTGTCGTCGTTTTTGTCGCTCTCGGAGACAGTGGGCGGGAGGTCGATGCCAAGCTGCACTCAAACCCTAAACCCTAAACCCTAAGCCCTAAACCCTAAACCCTGCCAAACCCTCCTACACCCTCCCAGGCCCCCAAGCAGCCACCAGCGGCCCTGGGGAGCCGCGCAAACCCTAGCAGCGCCTGCCCGCGGCTGGAGTTAGGGTTTAGGGTTTAGGGTTTAGGGTTTAGGGTTAAAGACCTCTGCTGCAGTTTGCCTCAAGGCCCCCCAGTCCAGCTTCTGCAGCAGCGACAGCAGCAGCTGCCGCTGCAGCTGCGTCTCCTCTTTGACAGCAGCAGCAGCAGCAGCATCTTCAGCTAACTTTATCTTCAAAGGATAGCCCCCAGAGCACTGGCGGCGGTTGCTGCAGCACAAACCCTAAACCCTAAACCCTAGGAACTCGCACGGTCACGGCTCCAGCCGGGAAGGTGGAAATGAAGCAGCAAGGAGAAAGAAGTAGAAGCTAGGGTTTAGGGTTTAGGGTTTAGGGTTTGGGGCCTGTGGCTCTGAGGGTCTCAGCATCGCAAAGGGGCCTCCTGAATCGAAATTCCTGCTGCTGCTCTTGCTGCTGCTGCTGCTGCTGCTGCCTGCTTACCACATTAAAAGATTATGAGTAAGAAGGCGCATTTTCTTGAGGGCTTCGGACCAAACCCTAAACCCTAAACCCTAAACCCTAATATTGAAGGCAAACAAGGTACCCAAACAAGTCAACCCCCTGAAATAAACTCTAAACCCTAAACCCTAGAGTCCAGGCCTTAAGGAGATAATGTTAGAAAATGATTCGCGCGAGCGAAATTGGGCCTCCAAACCCTAAACCCTAAACCCTAAACCCTAAGGCGTCGGCAGCACCCGGAGCTGCGCCTCCTTTGCTTTTGCAAGTTAAGACCTGCAGTGACAGTTTCAGCGCTATAAAAATGAATCAACAAAACCCTAAACCCTAAACCCTAAACCCTAAACCCTCCTAGCGCCTGTGGGGCCCCCGTGGAGGGACACGAGGGGCCCTGGAGCTGCGTCTTCTGCTGCTGCTTCTAGGGTTTAGGGTTTGAAGTTTAAAGCAAACAAATAATTACTAAAGTAAGGTTTAGGGTTTTAAAATTAGGGTTTACCGTATCCTTTGCTGCTGCAGTCCCGCCATCTACTAACCCGAAACCCTAGAAACGCTGAACCCTAACCCCTACAAACCCTAAACCATACAAACCCTAAACCCTACAAACCCTAAACCCTAAAGGCCAGGCCTTCTCCCGCCAGCCAACCCTCCTCCGGCACTGGCAGCCGCCCTCACTAGATCAAAACCCTAAACCCTAAATCTGTGGTTGCGAAGCCCCCCCCAGTTCAGGCGCCTACGCGCCATCAAGCCCCAAACCCTAAACCCTAAACCCTAAACCCTCACTAAACCCTAGACTTTCGGCACTAAAAAGAAACGCCCAGCTGTTCCTGAGGTTCACAGCCCCCAAACAACCTCAGCAGCAGCAACTGCTCCCGCTGCTGTTGTTGCTGCAACTGTTGCTGCTGCAACTGTTGCTGCTGCAACTGTTGCTGCAACTGCCGTTGCTGCAACTGCCGTTGCTGCTGCTGCTGCAACTGTTGCTGCTGCAACTGCCACTGTTGGTGGTGTTGCAGTTGCTGCTGCAGCAGCAACTGCTGTTGTTGCATTTGCTGCTTCAGCAGCTGTTGGTTGTGTGTTTGCTGCTGCTTGCTGCTGCTCCTGCCGCTGTTGCTGGCGTTGCTGTTGCTGCTGCTGCTGCTGCAGCTGCTGCTGCCCAGATTAAGAAGGAAGCAGCGAGAAGGAAGCAGCTTGCCTCTCTTCTTCAAGTGTACGTACACCTCAGCCGCGTCGGGGGCGGCCAACAGCTTTTTAATTTTCATTACATTTTTAATTTACAACAAAAATATTAATTTTTGCATTAAATGTATTTATAATAAATGATCTATTTCATAATTCTCATTTTCATTTGCTTTACTTTTGGGCTCTTGCCTCGCTTTTGATTAATGCGCTATTCCGTTCTGTGCTGCTGCTGCTGCTGCTGCCGCAGCTGCTACTACTGCTGCTGCTGCTGCTGCTGGTGCTACTGCTGCTGCTGCTGCCGCTGCCGCTGCTGGCGCTATTGCTGCCGCTGCTGCTGCTGCTACCGCTGCTGCTGCTGCTTCTTCTAATGCTGCTGCTGCTGCTGCTGCTTCCGCTGC